ACAACTTTAGTTTTAGGGGATCAGGACATTATAAATATTCACATTATTAAAACTATGATCTGATTAGAGTATGAAAATCAAAGTTTAGTGTCTTCCTTTTTATTGTTTGTAATTAAAATACACTGAATAATTTTACTAACAATTTTTATATTTTTATTACTAGCCATTGAAACATATCAATGCATGTTTGTATTGACATGTTTAAATTTGTCAAAATTTTTTTTCAAATTTTAAATTGAACTCACTGCTTTTAAATGCATACTGGAGCTGGAGATGTAGATCAATGATAACCAACTTGCCTAGCACATGCAAGGTCTTAGGTTCAATTTCTAGTCCTCTAAAATAAAAGATAAAAAATAACCAAATAAATAAAAATAAAAAATAAATACTGTGTATCTGAGCCCCCAGAAAGGTTGTTTAAGCTTGATCTTGCAATACTGATAGGAGTAGAGAGGAATAAACAGATGCATAAAAACAGGGGTAGAATCGACAGGTTATTGAAAGTAATCAGATAAGCCAGATCTCATTAGTTTAGTACCTCTAATAACCACCCACCCTCAAGGCCACATGAAAGCTCATATATACACACAGGTTTACTTCTAATCTTAGAGGAGAGCCTTAACACAGTATATCATTAGTTAGGAGTAGAGCGTTCACACCATATTAGTTTAGGCCCAAATCACTGGCTTGCTATAAAAGGCCTTGCTGTGATATTATTTGATGACCTGGATCTGTCTATTGTTGGGTTTATAATGGCTGGTCTGTAAAGTACTATCATTATGGCTGCTTTTAAAAAAATAAACAAAGAATTTCTCTCTTAGACTGTTTGCATCATCTTTGCAAAGTTAGCAAAAACTCTTTCTAAAACATAAGCAGTGGCAGTGGCCATGAATCTTCTAATCCTGAAGAGCAATCTGGTTTTGTAGTCTCCCTCTGTTTTCTAGAACTCATTCTTCAATGCATAAATTCTCTGTGTGAAAGTTTCACTTCCTTTCTTGCTGATAGCTTCTGTTTTTTCTCTTCTCATTCATATTTTTTTGATCTGTTTCTTTTGCAGAGTCATGTCTTTCTGCTGATAGAATTACTTGGAATTTTCTGTTACAAACCTCTGGCCAAATTCAGTGAATAAGAGTCCTGTTCTAGCTACTTTATTTATTTATTTATTCTTAGTTGTTGGTAGATCTTTATTTTATTTATTTATACATGGTGCTGAGAAAGGAACCCAGTGCCTCACACATGCC